CTTCAAGCTTGACAACTCTGTAAGACTTTTCTGTTGAGATTGATGGTGATATTGATAAACGTGACTTTTTAAATAAATTGTATAATGGTGTTTGCATAACTGACTGAACTGATATTTTCCAGATTGACCAATTCATAATTTTACAAAGACATGCACAGATAAAAGCCCTATTCACAGTGTAAGATACACCAGCAGATTTCAATGTAATAGAGTGAAAAAGCTCATTGGGCTGGTTTCAGATTCCACATCGCAACTCAACTTTAAGAAACCACCACTTGGGGGCGCCTGGGTGGCTCAGTCGTTAAGCGTCTGCCTTCAGCTCAGGTCATGGTCCCAGGGTCCTGCGATCGAGCCCCACATTGGGCTCCCTGCCCAATGGGAAGCCTGCTTCTCCCTCTCCTACTCCCCCTGCTGTGTTTCCTCTCTCGCTGTGTCTGTCTCTGTCAAATAAATAAATAAAATCTTAAAAAAAAAGAAACCACCACTTGTGGAGTTTTGGTGTAGTATTAAAGAATATCCATAGTAATGTGGGTAAGGGAGGAATATTTTAATTACCTTTTTTAACTGCAAAGCAGTGTGAGGCCAGATTTTCTTCATATACTTCAACCAGAACCACATATGGTAGCAGATTAAATACAAAAACAGATGTGAGAATCTAGCATTAAAGAGATTTGCAAAGATGGAAGATAGTGCCATTCTTTTCACTAAATGTTTTTTGTTTTATAAAATGCAGTTATTTTTCATTAAAATATTACCTATATTAACATAATGGGATTGTGAGTTTTAATGAATTAATAAATATGTTTTAAATGTATTTGGTTTTAATTTCTGTAATGATAAATATTGATAAACAAAAGCTTTTTGGGTCCTCAGTGAGAATGTAAAAAGACTGTGAAGTTTGAGAATCACATCTATAAAATATGATCTTAAAGTACTTTCATATCTCCTTTAATCCTCCAACCAATGCTTTGAGTTGTAATGATAATACTTTTTATAGAATCCTTCATATTCTCTGTGCCAGGCAGTGTTCTATGTGTTTTATGTACATTATTTCATTTAACCCTCACAGTAGGTTTTGAGATAGTCCCTGCTTTCAGATGAACAAAGCAGGCACAGAGAAATTAACTAATGTCCTCAAAGTCCCATAGAAACATGATATAGGATAAAATATGTAATATTACCGAAACTTATTTGACCATGAAACTTTTTTTATTTTAATGGAACAGTTGATTAGTGTTCCTTGAAATATGTTTTTGAAAATGCTGCAAGTAGGAGACCATCATAGGGAAAAATAAATTAAAAGGCTAAATAATACTGAAAGGGTGATTAAAATGATAAAAAATGACCATTGGATTTGGCAGGATTGAAATATTTCATAATCTTGAGCAGTTTCATTGGAAAAGAGATAAAGCAGAAGCCTCCTTGGAATTGATGGAGGAAAGAATGTGAAATAAAGTGGAGACAGGGAAAATGGGCTCTAGTTTTGCTATGCAGAGGGTCCAGGTTAATGGAATTTTTTAGAAGGGAGATACTAGGGCATGTTTATACTCATGATAATAATACAGTAGGATAAATAAAGGATGTTGAGAGACCATATACAGAGAGGAAGGGGAGTCTTTCCTGTGTGTGTGTATATACATAGTCATACACATATGTATACACATCTGAATCAGGAAAAGTTTCCTTCAAGAAATGACGTTTGAGGGGCACCTGGGTGACTCGGTCTGTTAAGTGTCTGCCTTCGGCTCAGGTCATTGATCCCAGGGTCCTGGGATCGAGCCCCGTGAGCCCCATGTCAGGCTCTCTGCTCACTGGGGAGTCTGCTTCTCCCTCTCCCCCCACTGTGCTCTCTCATGTGTGCTCAGTCTCTCTCAAATAAATAAAATTGTAAAGAACAAAAAAAAAACAAAAACATTTACTCTGCAGCATGGAGAAGGGGTTAGGGAAAGGCAAAAGACCAGTTGAAGCTGGGTGGATTCGGAGAATCATTTCACTCTGCTAAGGGAAGAGGCTACAGAGTTTGGAGTACAGGGCACAGAACAGTGACAGGGAGAGCTAGGAAAGGGGAGACAGTGGTCAATTTGAGAGATAATTATGTATATCCTTAAAAGTATTTAAGTACGTACACATACATATATACACACACACGTACATGTACACACATGTATGTAAAAAGCTTGTAGTCATATAACTCTTATAACTTTATTGATATAAAATGTATATACACAGGCAATCACAAATCATAAGTGTTGTGTGGCTTGTTGGATTTTCAGGGTGACCTGTCCATGAAACTTTTGCCCAGATTTAAAAAAAAAAAAAATAGAATATTACTAAGATCCCAAACTCCCTTTCCCTTGAGGCCCTCTCAGTCATTATGCCACTATCCCTAGTGAGAGCCACTGTCCTACTTGATACAGTTAGATTAGTTGGTTATTGAGAATGAGAGACAGAGTGAGGGAATCTTTTATTGATATATGACATACATAGAAAAGAGTGTAAAATTAGTAGTCTAGACTTGATGAATTTTTATGAAATGAATACCCAGGTAACGTTTGAGATACAGAACATGTTTCTACCCAGAGAAGCCCATTAGAGATCCAGTGCCCAAAGTGTTTATTGCGATGTAGTCACATAGACACACTCTGCCAAGCGTATGTTAAAATTCTAGACTCCCAGAAGGAAGGCAGATGTTTGGTATAAATCATATTGTTAAAAAAAATAAATCATGTTGTTTGCACAGTCTAAGTACAATGAGCCACCTTATCAGTTAGGGAAAGTTTTATGTCAATATAGGGAACGATTTGTTAACCTGGTTTCTTCCAGGCACCAACCAAAAGGCCATCCTTACAAGCAGGCCTTTCTAACAATAGCAATCTCAGGCCTCCTATATTAACTTTTTTTCTGCATAATCACCGTAGATTAGTTTTGCCTATTTTTTTAATGGCATCTGATTTCTTTTTTTTTTTTTTTAATTTATTTATTTAAGTAATTTCTACACCCAACATGGGGTTCGAACTCATAAGCCCGAAATCAAGAGTTGCATGCTCTTCCAGGTGAGCCAGCCGGGTGCCTCAAGTTTTGCCTATCCTTAAACTTCTTATGAAAGGAATCATAGATGTACTCCTGGCTTATATTACTCAGCATTATGTTTGTGGGATCTAGCTAGTTCATTTATTCCCATTGCCAAAGAGTGCCACTTTCTCATCAGCATTTGGTATTATCTCTTTTACATTGTGGTCATTCTTGAAGGTATGTAGTAATATTTTATTGTGGTTTTAATTAGCATGTCCCTGATGACTAGTGAGATTGAGCCCTTTTTTTTCCATGAACGTTTTTTTCATGTGTATTGGCCATCTGGATAACCTTTTTATTGTAAGTTACTTGTTCCGATCTCTGGCCCATTTTTATATTGGGTTGTCTGATTTATCTGTGGGAGTTCTAAATACATATTTTGGATATGAATCTATTGTTGGATATATGTATTGCAGATACCTTCTTCCATTTTATAGGTTGCCTTTTCACTCTTCATTGGGTTCTTTTAATGAAGAAAAGTTATTAACTTTAAAGTAGCCAAATTAATTCATCTTTTGCTCTAGAGCTTGTGCTTTCTTTTTTGCCTTCTTTAAGATATCTTTGTCTATGCCAAGGTAATGGAGATAGTCTCCTGTGTTATCTTTTAGAAGCTTATTGTTTTACCTTCCATATTTAGATCTATAGTGCACTTGGTACTTATTTTTGTGCACATGGTGTGAAAGTAGGAGTCAAGATTAATTTTTTCATATGGCCATCGAATTGACTCAGCACTGTGTGTGGAAAAAAACTTTGTCCTTAGCTTTCCGTTTTGTTTCATTGTTTTATCCTGTGCCAGTACCACACTCTCTTACTAAGCTTTATAATAAGTTTTAATATCTGATAGCGTAAGTCAGCTTATTTTTTTCAAGATTATCTTGCCTATTGGTTCTTTGAATTTCTATATAAAAAGTTTTAGAATTATCTTGTCATTTCTCCCTTTCTCTCCTTTTCACACATACGCACAAAGAGACACGCACAAAAGAACTTTTTGGGATTTTGATTATATTGAATCAGTAAATCAATTTGAGGAGAATTGGTATCTTTAGAATTCAGTGTACCAGTCCATGAACTTGTATATCCCTCCATTTATTAAAGTTATTTTAAATCTTTTTCAATTAGAGGGTCTTGCACATCTTTCACTAGATTTACTTCTAGGTATTGATATGGCAGACATAGATGTAGTTATTTGGGCTATCTGCCCAATCTATTCTTTTTTTTTTTTTTTTAAGATTTTATTTATTTATTTGAGAGAGAATGAGAGATAGAGAGCACGAGAGGGAAGAGGGTCAGAGGGAGAAGCAGACTCCCCGCTGAGCAGGGAGCCCGACGTGGGACTCGATCCTGGGACTCCAGGATCATGACCCGAGCTGAAGGCAGTTGCTTAACCAACTGAGCCACCCAGGCGCCCCCAGTCTATTCTTGATTGAATCTGAATGTTTGTGGTATCAGAAAGCTGTCTCAACTTAGTTCAGAGATAATACAGACAGTACCATTCTGTACGGAAGGTCTTCAGAGATCTAAGAATTAAAAAAACAAACAGCTGTAGCAGTATGGCAAATTATTTTTTAGTGAGACAGTTTCTGTACTAAATATTTGGATGTTGAGACATGAAATGTTTATGAAATTATAGTGCACAACTGTGCAAAAATATTAAAATATGGACATCTTAGGTATTACTGTGCAGTAATACTTCTCGGTTGAATGAAATGCTGTACAATTTAGGTGTGGTTTTACTTTCAGTTAGATAATCAACATTTCACCATGGTTTTACATATTGAGAGTAGAGAGAATTAAGTGTCAGCGTGTGTGTGTGTGTGTGTGTGTGTGTAGGGGTGAACTGTAATATTAAGACAGAATATACTATGATGCAATTGTAGAGTGAATTACGTTTTCAAATTTGTGGCTGTGACAGCATTTTTATTCCTAGAAACTTGAGGACTGAAGGAAAGAAAAGTCTAGTTGTAAGCTTTAGCAAATTACTTAACATTTCTGTGCCTTTATTTCTTCATCTGCATACGGGGATAACGTACCCTTTTGTAAAGGGCTTAGAACAGTGTCTGGCTCATAGTAAGTGCTTAGTATGCATCGTCATCATTGTTGTCATTATTATTTATTTTTCTGCAGATTTGTAAACACCAAGAGGGCATGGACTTTGTCTTGTTCATTATCGTCCACACCTTCTGTGTACTAGACTGTGTAGGTACAATCCCTGCCGTCATGGAGCTTGCAACCTAGTCTGTACATATTGTAGATAATAAGTCATGTTTATAATACGGCACATGAACACAGGCATCATGCTCCTGGAAGAAACTCCAATGATTTATAGAACATCTGTTTACTGATTTTTTGCAATGTTGTTTTATATCCTTGTTTAAGTTGAAATCCTGAGGGGAATGTTAGGCCGTGGGTCTCATGGTTGTGCAACTTTTTGCTTGAACTACTGATAAGTAAGTCCTCTGGTGCTAGGATGTCCTGGGAATTGAAAGACACAGATTTGAGTTCTAGTTTTACTGCAGATTTTGTGCATGACTCTGAGCAAGTTACTTCTTAACCTTGTCTGTAATTGAATGTACTAAATGATATCTAAGATTTCTTCTAGCTCTCATTTTGGTATCAATCAGCTTTTCCAAATTACGTTCTGCAGGGAGAGGAGAGCAGGAATCCATTGTCTATAATATATATTTGCCTTATAGCTGAATGCTGAAATAAAAATGTTGAACTCATATTTCATAATTGTATTTTGGTTTTATTTATAGATGCCAGAAGTGGGTGGAGAATTGTAGGAGAGCGGACTTAGAAGATAAAACACCTGATCAACTAAATAAACATTATCGATTATGTGCCAAACACTTTGAGACCTCTATGATCTGTAGAACTGTAAGTAATAGAAGGGCTTGAGTTGTTTGTTTTCTCTCTCTCTCACTCAGTATCTGGTTGGAAATGTAAATATTTAATAATGCTGGAGTGTATCCTTGCACCCCACCACTTTTTTCAAAGTTGAAGACAAATTCGGAGCTAATTGGTATCTCTTTTGTTCTTAAAAACCCGGGATCTTTTTTAACCCCCCGTTTCTGATGCCCCATTCCTACTCACAGAGGTTGCCACTTTTATGTTGCTTAATGCAGCCTTCAGAAAATTTTGGATATTAAAGTGTTTGTTTAAGGTAGAGGTTGTGTTTTTATTTGGAGCAACTTCTCCAGAGCTTTTTTTATGAGTGAAATCTTCATTGAGAAAGGTAGCTCTTTGTTTTCATGTTTCCATATGTACTGTTAGAACCAACCCTTAATTTTTATGTGCAAGTTACAAGAAGCAAATCATATATTTAATGTGAAAAAAAATTTCCATCAATAATTTTCAATTTCATATCAAGACCTGGGTCTCTCACCCTTACTACTGTTAACTGTGTGAATTTGGCCATGTCACTTTCCCTTTCTGGGCCCCAAATTCTAATGAGATTAAACCACATAATTCCTGAGATCTTAAGATTTTTAACCCTCTGTGATTCTGTTGTTGCTGTGACTTATAAGAGACACAAATAGGGCAGATTTGATCGAAATGAAGCAGACTTGAAACACTTTAAAAATTAGTTAGGAAGACAGTTTTGTTAAATAATATATTCTTGTTTAGGTATAACTAATGTATCATCTCAGGTAGTGGGATAGACATAAACTTGATTTGAAGGTACACTATATATTGTTACGCAGCAATTTATTTTGATATTTTTTTCAGATACATTTTGCAGAGGCATCAGAAAACTAAAGAATGATTGGGTTATTTTATTTCTCAAAATTAATTGAAGCAGATACTTGTGAAGTCATTGGGAGGTGAGCCAATTCCGGTTCAACAGTTTAATCACAAATATTTGAGGGATATTTTTGCCTTGCTTTGTTAAGAGGGTAATAATGATCAACCAAAATAAGGGATTTCATATGTTTAAAAGGCAAACTATTTTTATGTTCTTGACATTAAGTAAAAATATCCCAAATTATTTTAAATATACAAGACATATGCATTTTTATTTTAGTAATAAATATGGTCTACTTAACAGACAATTCCAGTAAGATTAATGTGAGAAATGTTAAATTATAGTTCACTCATATTCTTGTTTAGTCAGAGCATAGGACAGAAAGATGAGCTATTTTTGCTTTTTAAATTTCCACATGATTCTTCAGTCTTGAATAAGTTAATGCAAATACGAGAAGATGTTCTTTCTACACATGTAGAAGAAGATACTGCTATTAAAAACTGGCTTATATGATATCTATATCCAAATGTTTGAGAGTTTTGACTTTATTAGTTTGGCGTTGAAGCTTTCATCAGTAAACATTCATGGCTACTTCAACCAAAGCCAAATATTATCTTTGATGCTAGAGTAAAATCACTGCTTTATGCTCAAACCTTAGTTCAGCAGTTAAAGATTAAATCGTGATACTGAGTTAAAACTGTCATGCACGTAAATTGAATATAGCTCTTTTTTGCATGTGAACTTATAAATCAGTATTTATAAAAAGTAACATGTTTTTAATTCATGTTCTGTTTTTTGGTCTATAATATCTTTGCTTTATGGCAAATTAATTTGATTTGAATTTAAGAAATGCATTAAGAATGTTTTATCCCTCCTCTCCTTATTTAATAATTGGTAAGATATCAAGAGTTGACTGTGTATGTTGTGACATGTTTGTTTGCTAAGCAGGAAAGATGCGGTGTTTGGGGTACAGTATAGTTTTTGCTCCCTTCTGTGATTGTGTCCCTAATCAATCTCTGATTCAAAATTCCTAGTAGACTCAGGATAATTGGCTCAGCACTAGAAGCTGAGTGTCATTAAGAAATAGATTTAAACAAAAAAGTTTTCTTCTTTGAGTTTTCCATGAGGCATGGGGTTGAACTGGAAAATATTGAATCTGAATAGAAATACTTCCCAAATGTGTTTAACAACTCTTGAGATAAAACCCAAGATAGTGTGTTCCCTTTAGTTACATATATTTTTTCTTCATATCATCCTAACCTTCCTTCCCTGGGTGAAAAAAAATACAGTTGTTATTTTTGTTTGACATATACTTTGAACATGTTTAATAGTCAGCTTTGAAACAATCACTGCTCCCAAGAAAGCTTTTTAAAAAGAAGAGTGTTTGTCTTTATCATTGTAGACCTGTGAAGAAATTAAAGGCACTGTTTCTTTGGACTAGCTGAGGGGAATGTATGCAGTTATTCATCTGTTACTCTTCCTGTTAATAAACTTCTTGTCCCTACCTGACCTCTGGGTTGGCTGTTGAAGACTGTCAACATCAAGTATGCATCCAGCTTCTAGCCAGGTTGGATTAGGTTAACAGGAATTAGAATAGAGAATAGTCATCCTTCAGTGATAAGAACTTAGAATTAGAAATTTAGAAATACCTAGTTCAGTGTTTGCGGAAGTCCAATTAGGTATATCATGGTTATGAATGAATTCAAGTGGCACATTAGTCAATTTTTATTTTAGGAGTTTCACAGTATGTGTTAAAAAATATAACTAGCTAGGGGCGCCTGGGTGGCTCAGTTGTTAAGCATCTGCCTTCAGCTCAGGTCGTGATCCTGGGCTCCTGGGATCGAGCCCCGCATCGGGCTCCCTGCTCTGCGGGAAGCCTGCTTCTCCCTCTCCCACTCCCCCTGCTTGTGCTCCCTCTCTCACTGTCACTCTGTCAAATAAATACATAAAATCTTTAAAAATATATATATATATGTAACTAGCTCATCAGAATCATTATTTTATAGTCTGTACTGCCTAAGACAATTCTAACTTAAAAATGAGTGGATTATGTAAAAGTGCCAGATAATGGTATGCAAGCGTTATCATTAGTATATGAATAATTTCATTTTGGGGAATATTGGTCTAGTTCAATACTTGAATTTTATTCAGAAGAGGAAACTGAGGTCCAAAAAGGGAAAATATTTGGCTAGGATCTCATAGTGAGTAACTGGTAGAGTTTGGACTAGTTCCTAGGTCTCCTGGGTCCCATGCAGTCCAATATTATTTCACTATACCTGATGCTTCTCAGTAACAGTAGTGAAAGTGGAGTGAACAGCAGGTAAAGAAGGGAAGAATTATTAAGAACATACAAAGCGATAGATGGAGAAACTTTTGTGCCTACTGTAGATTTGGTGGGCTCATGGAAGGGCAGAACAGACAAAGTCGCTGGGAGGATGAATTAGAAGTATATTTGCAAGATGCAAATACATTTTATTTTTTATGCCTACCATCAATTCCATTCCTTTTTGAAAGTAGTGAGATTGCCAGAAGGGCAAAGACAAAAATTGAGTTAGAAATAATAAGCTAATCTGGATTGACATCGTCATTCTGCAAGTCTCTACACTTTAGAGCTGGAGTTGAAGGAGTACTGGGGAAGTCATTAACATAGCATTTTCTTTATGTGTAATAATACATTCTTACAGACTGTCTCTGAATTAACACATTTTTCTTTTTCAGAGTCCTTATAGGACAGTTCTTCGAGATAATGCAATACCAACAATATTTGATCTTACCAGTCATTTGAACAATCCACATAGTAGACACAGAAAACGAATAAAAGAATTGGTATGTCAGTGTGCTTTTGGCTTTCCCACCCCCCGTAATACTGTGACATCAAATATAGATGCATTCATGTTAAAATTGAACCCAAGTTACTCTCTATTTCACAGGTAGCATGGGAAGTGAATGCTGTGGTTATTGAAGTAGCATGGATGTGAGATGATTAGTACTTAAATTGGAAAGTCTTTCTCAAATTTAGCCCATTGATACTCATTGACTTGGGCCAAAATATGCTGTCAGTTTTAGACCACTAGCACATTCCCTTCCTGGGAAGAAAAAAAAACAAAAAACACTACCTTTTCTTTTATAGTAAGGAAAGTGGAGCTGAGGGATATTTCCAGAATTCAGCACAAAGGGATAAAGAAAGGGAAAGTATAAAAGTTAAGACATGGATCCTTTTACCTAGAAGTAATGGTTTTATCTCTATTAAGTACTGTCAGGGTTAGAAAAAGCTTTTAAATCTCTGTATATGGCATCATTTATACATGTTTTTATAGTAATAGGAATTTGATACCCTTTAGTTCTAATGATTGAAACCTACCTGTTTTTTTGTTGACATTAGGTGAACAGCATTAAATTGCTGAGACTCCTCAGTCCATGACTTTCTGTCATTGTTGCCACCAGCAAGACCCTTATTTTATTTTTCTTCCTCCTTCCACTATTACCATTCCCATTTCTTCTCCTCCTTTTGGTATCCATGCTAGTGTATTTAATATTTCTCATTTCATTCTGCCTACTGTGTGCTTTTTAAAGCAACATTTATCTAATTTTCTTCATTTTTTCTGTTTCTATGTTTACCTTTCATATTTACATCTTTGATCCATTTGGAGTTTGTATGTCTTTATTACAATAGCTTTATAATATATCTTACTTTCAAATACAGTGATTTCTTAACTCTTCTTTTTCAAAACTGTCCTCGCTATTTGTGGACCTTTATCCCACTAGGTGAATTTGAGAATTCTTTTGTCTTATATAAATTGTATGGGGATTTTCATCATGAATGTTTTGAATTACCATCTTTGCAATATTAATTAGACTTATCCATAAAGAGAAAAAAACAGCTATCAAGTAATAGCAATCATTGACAAAACTAAATACTAGTTCTTTGAAAACACTATTAAAATACTTTTAGGGGCGCCTGGATGGTTCAGTTGGTTAAGCGTCTGCCTTTGGCTCAGGTCATGATCTCACGGTCCTGGGATCGAGCCCCGAGTCAGGCTCCCTGCTCAGTGGGGAGTCTGCTTCTCCCTCTGCCCCCGCCCCCGCCCTGGCTTGTGCTCTCTCAGATAAATAAAATCTTTAAAATAAATTAAAATTAAAAAAATACTTTTAGGAATGCACAAAGTAAAAAATTTGAAATAACTTCAGGGTTTTTGCTGCAGTTCTTTAAAAGAGAGCAATATGTACATTCTTCCTTAAATTACTTCCTAAATACACTGTCGTTTTTGTTGGTATAGATTATGTATTCTGGTTGAGATTGTTTCTAGCAATTTTGAAGACCCCTTTTTATTAATCCTAATAGTCCACCAAGTTTTCTTTTTTTTTTTTTTTTAAAGATTTTTTATTTATTTATTTGTCAGAGAGAGAGAGCACAAGCAGGGGGAGCAGTAGAGGGAGAGGGAGAAGCAGGCTCCTCACTGAGCAAGGAGCCCGATGTGGGACTTGATCCTAGGACCCTGGGATCATGACCTGAGCCGAAGGCAGACGCTTAACGACTGAGCCACCCAGGCGTCCCAGTCCACCAAGTTTTCTATGTAGTTGATTGTATCATCCTCCAAATTTGCCTCTTCTTCCAATCCTTATAATTTAAAATTTTTCTGTTGCCTGTGTTGCTGTTTAGTAACTACAGTTACTACACTCCTAAGAGTGCTGTGTTGAACAGTCTCAGGCATGTCACCGCTGGTACATTTGTCTTGCATTAAGTGTGACATTTGTTGTTGATACTGTTAGATAATTTTTATTAAGTTAAGGAAATTCCTTTTATTCCCTTTTAGTCTTCATATTCAAAATTTTTATCATAACTTGTTGAACTTATCAGAAGATTTCACTGCATCTGTTGAGTAGAAAAGTTCACGATTTTTTTTAAGGCAGTGAATAACATTGATGGGTTTTCTGATGTTGAACCATCTTTGCATTCCTATGATGAACCCTAATTGTTTGCAGTGTATCTTTCTTCATTTGTTTGATTTAGTTGGTTAATATTTTATTTAGGATATTGCATTTATCATTTTAAGTGTTGTCCTGTAATTTTCTTTTTTCATGTACTCCTATTATCCAGTTATGATATCAAGGTTCTGTTAGCCTTATAAAATTAGTTGGATAGCTTTCCTTTTTTTTCTCTCTTAATTTTTCTAGAGAAACTTGTATAAGGTATATACTATTTGCTCCTGAAAGTTAAACTATAAAACCATCAGATGGCTTGGGGTGGGTGAGGGAATATTTTAATTGCCATTTTGATTTATTTATTGGTTTTCTCTTCTTGTGTTTCATTTGTTTTCAAGAGTTCATGAACTGCATCTAGGATTTTGGAATGCTTGTTCTTTTCTGAACCTAAGATTATTTTAATAGTCTTTGCAAAGAAATAGTAGTTACTTTTATTAATGATTGCTGCACTTGTGAGCTATTTTATCGGTTTCTTCTTGATTTGAGGGATTTACTTTTTAGCTCTTTTTCTGGCTTCTTGAATGTTTAGCTCATATTTATGTATATTCAAAGCTGTAAATGTCTAAGTGTGTTTTAGCTGTATCCCACAATTTTAGACATGTAGTGCTTCCATTGATTAGCTAGAAGTGTTTTGTATTCCCCTATTTCTTTAACATAGGATTATTTTTGTTTTTAGTTTCCAGGGATAGGTTTATTTTTTAAAACCATATTGTAGTTTTTATTTGGAGTGTTATTATTAAGTGATACATAGAGGATATATACCGTCTGTGTGATACTGATTCTAATTTTTGCATCTGTTATTGCTATTGAAGTATGATGCTCTAGCCTGATTCTTCCTCCTTTTTAGATCTGCTTTTCTCACTCAAAGTCTTTAGTTTTTTTCCTTTATATTTGACATTTTAAATTTTGCTAAACTGGGTCTAGATGGTTTTTTTAATTATCTGGATTTACATCTTTAAGTTCTGAGAAATCCTCAGTTTTTATTTCTTCATCCATTTCTTTCCCTCTATTTATTTATTTGTTTTTCTGGGACTTCTCATAGATGAATGCTGACACTCCACAACAGTCCTCCACATCAGCGTTCTTCTTAGTAATATGTACCAGGGGTGAGGCACTCGGCCACTTCCCACCTGTTGCTTATCATTTCCCTGTATTCTGCCCCTTGGGAACCTCAAATACCTTACTGCAGACATGCTCTTCCAGATCTGCCATCCTTGCAACTGCAGTTCACAGGATAAGGAGGGAATGTTCTGGATTGGCTAGCCTGTTGACAGTTCTTGTTAGCAATATCATGTTCCCATGCTGCCTAGCAGGTACCCTGTTAACTCCAGCTGTCACTGGTACTGCCACTTGCCTGCCCCAGAATAGTAATGGGGTGGGTTGTGATTTAAGCATTGTGGGGGGTTAGAGGGAGAGAAAAGGATACAACTGGGAAGTCCTTCCTCGGTCTAACCCGGTATGTATGTCCCACTTGGCCCTCTGCGCTGTGTGCATCCATTTCTCTTTTCCATACTGGTACTGCATTACTCTCTGCTTCCCGGGGATTTTTCATAGCTTTTAGGTTAGGTTCTGGGATCCAACAACTCTCTCTTACATGGCATCCCGCAGGATTGGATTGAGGGGGACATGATTTGTGACCCCTTGGAATGCCCATCCTATACTTTCATGCCTTTTATTAGCCAGCAAACACTTGTAACCCAAAGTTATGATGATTTAAGTATAAAGTAAGTTAAACATTATGTTTTCTTTGCTCTCCAGTATTTTATTATGAGCTTGGAGTCACTAGTAAATTATACTTCTGGTTTTTCTGGTCATCTCTATGTTTGAAGAATGTTTTCCTTATAAGGAGTTTATGCTCTTGAAGGAATTAAATTTGAGTCAAGATATGCTTTTTACTTATGAGTCTACAGTGATGTGCTAGAGTTCAGTTTTCTTAAAGATGTTTTTTTCTTTTTTCTTGTCATTTAGAGTGAAGATGAAATCAGGACACTGAAACAGAAAAAAAGTAAGTGATAGTATTAATGACTCAACTTCTGAATGCCTTTTAAAAAGGCCTTGACCTGGTCAGGACAAATAATTACGTTTTATGTCTAGAACCTGCCGTGAGAATGATGTAAGCATGTGGTAGGCATTGTCCCATGGGCTGGAATTGTCTGTGAGACTAAAGTGTTAGTTTAGTTTCTTGATCGAGTGCTACTGTGCCATGCACTTTGCCTTCTCCCCACTAGGGCTGTGCTCTTGGTGTGGTAGGAGTGGCAGGCACACAGAGTGTCCCAGGGTAGGGAAGGAGAGGCAGCAGGAAGGACAAGAGCAGAATCTTCGTCCACCCAGTGTGTGGTGCATAATTTCTTGGTACATTTTTAAGGAGTAAATGCTGTGGGAATGCTTAGCCTAATAGAGAGTAGGAGTCAGAAGCTTTTCTTTTTTTTAAAGATTTTTTATTTATTTATTCATGAGAGACGGGGGAGAGAGAGAGAGAGGTAGAGGGAGAAGCAGGCTCCCAAGGAGCAGGGAGCCCGATGCGGGGCTCGATCCCAGGACTCTGGGATTACAACCTGAGCTGAAGGCAGGCGCTCAACCATCTGAGCCACCCAGGCGCCCGTCAGAAGCCTTTCTGCAGGGACTGATAGCCGACCTCTGTCACCAAAGAATGAGGACGAGAAGTTGTTTTTGTTCTTGACAGTGATTGCTATTATTCCTCCTTTCTCTGTGCCCTCCTACTACTGTGTTGCTATTATTATTAAAATAAGTCTTTATGTCTGTGTGCTAAGTGTTTATTCTAAGTGCTTTTCTTAATTGATTTAATTCTCACAGTAGTCCTGAGGTAAGTACTATTATTTCCCCTCTCTGTGGATGAGGAGACCTGGAGTCAGGCAAAGGAGGGAAGAGTATTCTGTACAGAAGTAGAGTGGCGTGAAGCAGGGTGCTGGATTTGGGAAGTTATACTCATTTTGTTGTTGGAGCTTCTACTCTTCCATGATGATTAGAAAATGAGCCTAGAGGGGACCACAGGGTCCAGGACTTGCAACGTTGTGTGTATGACAGTGGGCAGGGCACCAACCTCAGAGCCTCGGTTTTCCTATCCAAATACAAAGAGATTGGGCTGATACGTCTAGTAGTCTAATATTAGCCTTAAAAATTGCCTGAATATACTCTACATTTTATTGGCATGTAGAATTCTCCTCTTCCATATAAAAGTGTAGCTTAATTTCACAGAAACTGCATCAGCATGGACCTTGGGGCCAGGCAGGTTTGGATTTGAATTTTATCTCCATCCTTCTAACCACATCTATGACCTTGGGCGATTATTTACTTTCCTCAATTTGTCAAATGGGGTTGATAGCACCTGCCTGTAGAGGGAGTAGTGTGATACATATAAAATGCCAACACAGTGCCTCAATAAATATCAGTTCTCTTCCTTTTCTTTTTTCTGAGGGCACAGACTGTTACTGCTCTGTGTATGTTTTATGTGACGTGCCTTGTTAAGTTTATAAGAAATCATTTCTCTCTTACAACATTTATGTGTAGGATTAAAATGTATCTGTATACGGTTTTTGTCTCCTCCTCTAGAGTGTGTCTTATTGTAACCTCTGTATCCTAGTCTGTGGTCCACTAGGTGCCTTGTGAATGTTGAATGGATGAGTTTGTGAATTTTAAATATTTAACCAGTCAAAAATAGAAATTTTTGTTGTTTGTATGGTTCCTCATGAGCCTGTTTATAAAATTAATTCTTTGTTTTCCAGTCGATGAAACTTCTGAACAGGAACCAAAACATAAAGAAATCAACAACAGCAACGCTCAGAATCCCAGTGCAGAAGAAGGGGGTGAAGAACAGGATGAAGACATTTTACCTTTAACCCTTGAAGAGAAAGAAAACAAAGAATACTTAAAATCTTTATTTGAAATTTTGATTCTTATGGGAAAACAAAACATACCTCTGGATGGGCATGAAACTGATGAAATCCCGGAGGGTCTCTTTACTCCGGATAACTTCCAAGCACTGCTGGAGTGCCGGATAAATTCTGGCGAAGAGGTTCTGAGAAAGTGCTTTGAGACAACAGCAGTTAACACATTATTTTGCTCGAAAACACAGCAGAAACAGATGCTAGACATCTGTGAGAGCTGCATTCGGGAGGAGACCCTCAGGGAAGTGAGAGACTCCCACTTCTTTTCCATCATCACTGATGACGTAGTGGACATAGCGGGGGAAGAACACTTGCCTGTGTTGGTGAGGTTTGTTGATGAATCTCATAACCTGAGAGAGGAATTTGTGGGCTTCTTGCCTTATGAAGCTGATGCAGAAATTCTGGCTGTAAAATTTCACACTACGATAACTGAGAAGTGGGGGTTAAACATGGAGTATTGTCGTGGCCAGGCTTACATTGTGTCCAGTGGATTTTCTTCCAAAATGAAAGTTGTTGCTTCTAGACTTTTAGAGAAATATCCCCAAGCTGTCTCCACACTTTGCTCTTCCTGTGCCTTAAATATGTGGTTGGCAAAATCAGTGCCTGTTGTGGGAGTATCTGTTGCGTTAGGAACAATTGAGGAAGTTTGTTCTTTCTTCCATCGATCTCCACAATTGCTTTTGGAGCTTGACAATGTAATTTCTGTCCTCTTTCAGAACAATGAGGAAAAGGGTAAAGAACTGAAGGAAATCTGCCATTCTCAGTGGACAGGCAGGCACGATGCTTTTGAAATTTTAGTGGACCTCCTACAAGCACTTGTTTTATGTTTAGATGGTATAAATAGTGATACAAATATTAGATGGAATAACTATATAGCTGGTCGAGCTTTTGTACTCTGTAGTGCAGTAACAGATTTTGATTTCATCGTTACCATTGTTGTTCTTAAAAATGTTCTATCTTTTACAAGAGCCTTTGGGAAAAACCTTCAAGGGCAAACCTCTGATGTCTTCTTTGCAGCCAGTAGCTTGACTGCAGTGCTGCATTCACTAAATGAAGTGATGGAAAATATTGAAGTTTATCATGAATTTTGGTTCGAAGAAGCCACAAATTTGGCAACTAAGCTTGATATTCAGATGAAACTCCCTGGGAAATTCCGCAGAGCCCAGCAAGGTAACCTGGAATCTCAGCTCACTTCTGAGAGTTACTATAAAGAAACTCTAAGTGTTCCAACAGTGGAACACATTATTCAGGAACTGAAAGATATATTCTCAGAACAGCACCTCAAAGCTCTTAAATGCTTATCTCTTGTACCCTCTGTCATGGGTCAGCTCAAATTTAATACATCGGAGGAGCACCATGCTGACATGTACAGAAGTGACTTGCCCAATCCCGACACACTCTCAGCTGAGCTGCATTGCTGGAGAATCAAGTGGAAACACAGAGGGAAAGATATAGAGCTTCCATCCACCATTTATGAAGCCCTGCATCTACCAGACATCAAGTTTTTTCCTAATGTTTATGCATTGCTGAAAGTCCTATGTATTCTTCCTGTGATGAAGGTTGAGAATGAACGCTATGAAAATGGGCGAAAGCGTCTCAAAGCATACCTGAGGAACACTCTGACAGACCAAAGGTCAAGTAACTTGGCTTTGCTTAACATAAATTTTGATATAAAACATGATCTGGATTTAATGGTGGACACATACATCAAACTCTATACAACTAAGTCAGAGCTTCCTACAGATAACTCAGAAACCATTGAGAATACCTAAAAGACTTAAAGTAGGCTTTCTCTTATGTTTGATATTTGGAAAAATCTGTAAGAAATTTGAAAACATCTTACAGAAAAGCTGTCAGGTGTATGTAGGCCACTTAATCACTGAGTATCTTGACCTGTCGACCTCTCATTGCGTACATTAGCCATTGATAATCTGCCTGTTTAAATGGCCCCTGTTTAAACTCTCATGCTTTGGAGACATACCTGTTCCAGAAGATAGCATTGAAAGTGCCACATTACACTTCTGTGGGATCTCTGCTAATGGCACTTGGGAATTGTTTCAGTTAAGTCATTTTAGATAAAACATTGATTGTCACTGGATCCAATTGTCTGGTATTGAGTTACCAGTTCTTAGAAGATAAAGATTTTGAAGAGGTATGGGAGGAAGGAGTACATTTTATAAAATGTTACAATGAAGCTCAGAGTGACCTTTGAATAGTAGGAGTGTTAGTATGTTTAAAAATCTGTAATGGACAGTTAAGAGAGTTACCAGACAGAGAGAGAAACGTGAGCTTGCCAGGCAAGGATTGCAGTAGAGATTTTGTCTTTATCAAATAAACTTAAAGGAACTAGTTACAGTTTAAAGTTTGAATGGGAGAGCCTGCCATTGTTGTTCCACATTGGATTGTTGCTGTTTACATTCCTTTGTTGAGCCTACATCTTCATAAGCTCTTTAGCAAGTGTATGTAGAACACCTACGTCTTCATAAGCTTTTTAGCAGGTATATGTTGAACACCTCTGTTCATGGTCAAGACAGGATCAGAGGCCATGGATACTGACAACTGATTTGTCTGTTTTCCTCTGTCTTTTTCCATGACTATATCTACTGCCTCGTCTTGATTTATAAACAAAACCTGGAAAACCTACAAAAATAAGTGTTTTGTGGTTTATCTAGGAATAATACAGAAAATATTGCTGTTATTTTTGGTGAAGAAAATCAATTTTGTATAGTTTATTTCAACCTAAATAAAATGTGAATTTTGTTTAAAGTTCAGGTACATTATTTTTGGTGGGGGACAAAATGGATTCTTGTGGTAAATTCTTTTTTCAAAAATATCACCTTCACAACTGAAGATGGCTTTTTGGGGGGTCTTTTGGGGGGGTGGCATATGGTTTACTACTTGGGTATATAAAAGACATTTTAATTAAGAAATTTCTAAATAAGGTTTATCTAACTGATGTTTTTTAATATTATGTGCTGTATGACCCCGTTACAAATTTTCAAGGTTTGTGTAATTGTTGATAGCTAAAATGTAAATGAATTAATATAATTGCTGAGATGTCATTGAATTATTTTATGTTGGGATATGTTAGTGTTACTTGAGTTTCAGAAAACAGGATGGGGTGCATTTATAGAGTGCAGGTCTTAATGATAGCTGGCAGTGCATTTCCCTGTCAGGGACAGGGCTGGCTGATGTGTCAAATCTGGACACATTACTCATTCATGTTGTGAAAAAGATAACAGAGTTTATCTTATAGCCAGAGCTCTGAGAGGTGCCTCTGTCTTTGGCAGAAAGAACTGATCAGGTTCATGGTGACAGGATGACAATAAAGGAGACAGAGCTGGCCTTTTAATACCTGCTTCTAGTTTTTAGGACACTTAAGAGTGATGTGATCTTGGGCCCCTGGGTGGGGCTCAGTCGGCTGGGCGATCTGAGTTGGGCATCGGACTCTTGATCTCAGCTCAGGTCTTGATCTCAGGGGCATGAATTTAAGGCCTGCATTTGGGGGGAAAAAAGTGGTGTGACCTTGGTAGAATATTTGAGCTGGGTATGTTTCTTCAGCTATAAAAAAAACCCAGGTTGCACTATGAAGAGTGGATACTTTATCATCAATTACCTATGACTGCTTAACATCCCGGAACTTAGTGGCTTAAAAGAACAGTTTATCATTTCTCAGTTTTGTGGCTTGGTTGAATGGTTCTTTTGCTAGTGTCATATGGGCACTCTGCATTCAGCTGGCAGACTGACTGGGGGCGGAGTGGTACAGCTGGGCCTCTCCTTGTGGTCTTTTTATCTTGGGCTTAGGGCATAGTGGTCTCGGAGTACCAAGAAGGCAGAGGCAGTAGCTTCAAAGCCTGAGCTCAAGAACTCACAGACCATCACTTTCACCACATTGTTTTTGTCAAAGCAAGTCATAAGGCTGGCCCAGATACAAGGGATGAGGAAACAGAATCCTCATCTTGATGAGAGGAGGTGCAGAATACAGCCCTGTTTGCTGTTCACCATAATAATGTATGCAAAACAGTCCTGCAACTAGCATTGGGTAAGCTTTTAAGATGCCCATCATTTGTTTTTATAATCTGTGTATGTTCTCTAAATTGGTAATTTACTGAAAACCCCCAAACCTTAATTTATTAAGGCATTTTCACAAACTGATGTTTGAAGATAGATTGAGTCATTGGTGGTCTCCCCACACATAAAACAAATTGTCGCTTTTGCAAGATTGAAAGTAGGTGTTGTGACTGTTTATTCCACAAACATTAGATGAACGCCTACTGTGTGCCAGGTTTAAGTGCTGGCAATAGCAGATGCACTTTCTTACTAGAGCTTACAGTCTTGAGTTGGCCCTTGGACTACAGTTGTACTTATTTGTAACTACACATACACTTGGTAGAGTTAAGTGAATCAAATTTACTAAAATTAAAAAAGACATAGGGTATCTATAAAAGCCTGTGCAGTTTAAAAAAAATTCTATATTAAATCTAAACATTTTGTGAAATATACTAGAAAATAGATTTAAGACTTAGCAAATTTAACTGGAGAAAGGTTTGCTTTTGACATATCCACTCTCATTTTTGGGAAAGGAAAGTTACACAGTTGAAGCCTAACATAGGATTTGTTACCTGAAAAATAAATGAGAACAAATGCTTATAAGTAATTTTGTGTAATTTTTATTTAATTCCTAACAAAAACCCTGAAGTAAATAGTAATTGATTGAGTTGGAAGAGACCCCTCTTGAGGTGAGTTCCTCTGCAGTAACTTAATTGGATCTGATTTTTATTTCATTTTAGGGACAGCGACTTTTAAAGTGCTATTTAAAGTGAGTGATTCAGGGTGGGAGGATGGGTTAGCCTGGTGATGGGTATTAAAGAGGGCACGTTCTGCGTGGAGCACTGGGTGTTATACGCAAACAATGAATCATGGAACACTACATCAAAAACTAATGATGTAATGTATGGTGATTAACATAACAATAAAAAAATAAAGTGAGTGATTAATAAAACAGGAAAATTGTACTTGCAGTGTTTATTAATATTTATGTTACTTTAGAGTTTACAGAGCACTTTGAATATATCATTCAAGTTCTCTGAAAAAAGCCACTATTGTCCCCATTTTTCAGTTGAGAAATCAAGCTCACAGAGGTAAATGAATTGCTCCAAATTATATAGCTAATAAGTGCCAGAGCCAGGTACTTCAGTCCTTCGATCTTAAAATTGATTATGAAAGCCACTTCATTCTTATGGTTTATAAAAGAAATATTTGCTTTAAGAATAGGCTCCTTTTATGTTCCTGCTTTATCCATTGCCAGCTTTCAGCACAGCATCTCTAGAATGTGCTCATTATAGTCAACGTGGATTCTTTGGGGGGAAAAAAAAAAAAGCCTGAAACTTCTGAGACTTCACAAACTGGGTGTAGAAATGCTGCCACCTTTGTTTGGCTGCCAAGACACTACCACAAAGGACTAGATCCAGGTCCATTTATTTCACGAGAGTGGGTGCAGCTGTCTTCTTGCTGTAATCAAATGCTTCCTCTGTAGCCAGCTTTTTGTGGCCAGAAAAAGCAAAGTAATTTTTAGTACAGATTAGCATAAAAATCTCTACTAGATCGGTTTCAGGAAACAATTACTAGCTTAGAAACAATAAGTGTGATCTATAGGTTGGTTAAAATGGCAGTTAATTTCCAGACTTTAAAATGCCCTTTATTTCTCACCGTGAATACTATATAAATAGAATACACTACCTGCCACTGTATTTGGTTTCATAAATTATTTGGACAGGGTGAACAACAGACTTCAAAACTAAGTAGAGGTAGTAAATCTGCCCTTTTTAATGAGTTTGAATTTACAGTAGTAGTTTAAACATCTGGAAGTTTAAAGTCCTAATTCATTCCAAATGTTCAACAAGGATATATTGCAAAGAGGATATTGTAATAGGAGGATCAAGAAAACTATTGACTCAATCTGAAGCCTTCCTAATTTTCTATATATACATTAATCACTTAAAACTTGAGAGGCTGACAGTTCAAAAACAGTAGAGATGGACCCAGATATCTAAGTTGGCATGCTTATAGAAGAGTAACTTTTTAAAAGAGGGCATAGTTACAACAAGGGTAAGGTTACAGCTGTTAACATAGCTAAGGCACAGCCGGATAGGGCTGCCGTGTTCTGTGCTTATGGGTATGTGGTGGGTTTTTTATAATTGTTCTTAAAACTGGACTGAGGGGAGTCAAACCTTGTGACTTAGAAACTAATTTTGATTAATGGATCTTGTAGTCCAAGAATCTGGTCTGCAGCCAGCACCTAGCATGAGACCAAGCATTCATTTATTTTTTTTTAAAGATTTTATTTATTTATTTGGCAGAGAGAGACACAGCGAGAGAGGGAACACAAGCAGGGGGAGTGGGAGAGGGAGAAGCAGGCTTTCCGCGGAGCAGGGAGCCCGATGTGGGGCTCAATCCCAGGACCCTGGGATCATGACCTGAGCCAAAGGCAGACGCTTAATGACTGAGCCACCCAGGCGCCCCTAGACCAAACATTCATTTAGTGCACACTTACTGAGTCCCTACTGGATGTTTGTTAGGTGTTGGTTTGATTTTCCTACAGCAAAAACAGTTGTGGTAGCAGGAGGAGTGCTCATCATCGTGGTAGCTGCTGCTAAGAATGCTTACTGCATGTGAGGTGCTGTGCTAGAGCACTTTACCTGGATTGTCTTGTTTAAAATTACCCACCCTGTGAAAAAGATAATATCTCCCCTTTTTTTCAAGTGAAAACCTAAGAATTAGAAGGTCATCAGCTAGTGAAAGTTGGAACCAGGATTTTAGCATGATGTAAAGATTTATGAATCTAATTTGTTGTCCCTTGTATTTGCTTTTCATGCTAATTTCAAATACTGTCTTGAATGCCTGTAGTGGTCAATCTGTTTAGCCCCAGGCATGAGGCTAGGTGTCATGGATATAAAGATGAATGAGGTGGA